AAGAATATCATATCTGTTTTAATTTTTTTTTAACAAAAAATAAATAATTTTGACCGTATTTTTGTTGAATGGAATGCACCGGACATTATTGTTTATTTTGATATTGTGATTTACGAGAAAATACAGGTAAGCAGAACACAGTATATGGGTTTTTTGGTGAATTCAATAACAGTTTTTGTAAGTATTAACTTTATACTTGTGATGTAGAAATACGTCAGTATGCAAAATCGGCAAGAAATACTTTTCATGTGGATATATTTTTGTTTTTGACTTTTTGGTTATAGATACGTAATTTATTTACATGAATTGTTATTATTATTCTTTCAGAATTTTCGGAAAATTGGCACATAGAATTGAGACATAAAACAACTTTTGGCGGTTTTAGAAGGCGGAAATGTTTCTGAAGATGGTTTGGAAGATGAAAGTGAAGATGACGAAACCTTTTTAGCTTATGCAAGAGAGATAATTCAAGAGAAAGAAGACGAGGATGCAGAGGATCATGAAGATCCTACCTATAGCGATCCACCACTGGTTCAAGATTTTCCTGACTCATTGAGTAAAATTATTTCTTCATTATCCATGCAAGAAGGTCATGAACATTTTGTAGTTTGATGAAAGGAAACTTATTTGGAAAAAAGACAGTTTGTATGATACTGTATGATGAATCAAAAATAATTCGCCAACCAAGTACAAAAGACTCTGCTATAACTGAACTTGATACACCATATAAATGTTTTTTGCATTACTTTACACCAGTTTCTTAAAAAAATTGTTGATGAAACTAACTTATATGCAGTGCAAAAAAACCCTTTAATATATTTTAGTTTATTCTTTTATTTATGTCAGTGGAGCATTTTCCTAGTGTTCGCTCATACTGGCATTTGAAGTTTGGGCACAATCCTGTAAGGAGCGCAATGCCGGTAAAATAATTGTTTCAGAGATTTTTATACACTGCAATAAGCCTAACTAGAAGACCATCGTTCAGCACAATAGTACTCAATTAAAATTTTTTATAGTAACCATTATGCATACTGATGTAGATTCACATCAGTA